ATTTCTGAGATATCTGGTGTGTGATTTCCAGTTTCCTCAGTGCTAGTGTCTTCTGCAGTTGTACTGGGTGGACTTGGGGCCTGAGACTGTATTTTGTTCCTTCTCTTTGCCATTTTGTATACCACTGTCTTCTGACCTTTGGTGAAGAGCTTGGATAGAGTTATTACCTTAGCACCAGGTCTGGATCTACAAAGTTCAGATTCTTCCAGGTGGGTGTTCCTTGGATCTGGCTGCTGTGCTCCACTTCTTCCTGCTGCAGCCATTAGAGTTGAACCTGTTGTGTTTCTCTGGCAAGATGTTCTGCTCCTGCATCAGCTGGGTGGGTCTTGTCTCTAGCCTCTTTGCAGGGAATTCTGCTGAAGGGTTCCTTGCTGGGCCTGTGCTCTGGGTCTATTTAGGATCCCACGGGCCCAGGCATCTCACTCACTCGCCGGGCCTGCGCTCTGGGTCTGTTCAGGATCCCACCAGTCCCTGGGTCGTCTCACTCCCTCGCTGGGCCTGCACTCTGGGTCTATTCAGGATCTTGTGGCCCTCGGTCATCTAACTCACTCACCGGGCCTGCGCTCTCCTTCAGTTTTCTTTTCACAGTGCAGAGAGGAAGAGGTAGATTTTTCAACCCTGGTGACATGTGCATTTCCCCTTGTTTGAGCATATGTCTCACTGTGCTGCCCAGGTTCGTCTCAAATTGCTGGGTTTAACTGATCTGCCTGTCTCAGTCTCCTAAGTAACTGGGAATATAGGCATCCAACATCATAGCTTACTTTAATTCCTCCAGATAAGTGTCTAATGTTCCAGGGAAGTTAGAGATTGACTGATCTTTGCACTCAACTTAAATTTTTAGATGCTTAACACTTGGAACTTTAGCACAGGGTTTAATCTTAAAACACAAAATAGATTTTAACAGAAAGAAGACCAGATATTTGTTTGTGTGATAGGATTTTAAGGAAACTTAACTACATAAGAAGGAAGAGACTTAATGGTATTTGTCTGAGGTCATGTAAGCAATTGGTTGTTGAACTGAAATTGTATCGACAATCCCCTTGAATTCCTTTGCCTTAAATATGTGTTGCTATAGCAGAAAAGGAAATGAATTCTAGATTATTAAATCAACCTTACAGCATCATTAACTCAGATAATCATTCAATCAGTGATAATCTTACTAGCTTTTAGGTGGTCCAGGAAGTTATTTTCTGTATAGAAACTAGTGATGGGTTAATAGGTATCTTTGTGAGCTGGGCTTTGGAGATAGAAAAATACTATTTGTGGATGTGCTATTTTATAACCAGGCCTCATTGTTCCCTAATCCTTCATTTGTAATTCATTTCTCCTCTATGTGGCATGTGGGAAATATCCTGAAGGCTATTCTAATGAAATATGTTGAATATAAAGTTTTAATCAGCTTACAAAGTTTAGAAAGTGTTTCTTAAGAACTAAAAAGTCATTTAAAAGAATAGTCTAATTTCATTATTGTGGTTCAGAAATGAGCATTATCATGACTAAATATGAATCTTCCATCTTGCATAAACAGGATGTCCAACAAATGACATAAATACAGAAAACACAAACAGGTAAATTTCTTTCTTCCTGTCTTCCTTTCTTGTGCTAGGAATCAAACTCAGGACCTTGTGCCTGCCAGGCAGGTGTTGTGCTGCTGAGCTGTATCTTCAGCCCACAAACAGAAACACGAAGAATTTTGTAATCATGCTCCCTTTCCTATTCACCAGAAATAAAAAGCAAGATGAAGGGCAGCCAAATAGCTCAGCGGATTAAAGTGCTTGCATGCAGGCTCAGGGACCAGGGGTTCAATTCCCAGGCCTGTCATGCTGGCCCCGACCCCGCGGACTCACTGAGCCAGTGATTGAAACTGGGAGTGGTGGCACACACCTGTAATCCCAGCTACTTGAGAGGTAGTAAAAACAGGAGAATCACTACGAGTCTGATCTAGTGGTGAGTACTGAACACCCTAAAATACAGAAAAAAAAAGAGCAAGATGTTATAAATGTTTGTTTTTAACACTTTGTTTCTCAAATAAAATTAAGGCAGCTTTACTTATGTCCTTGTATATTGCACTGCAACACTAAAAAGAAACGTCTCACACATACTCATGATTAATTCTGGAAGGTGCAATTATAGGTTACATACAATTGCTGATGCTTTGCCATTTCACAGTTTTATCATATGCATTCTCTGGATCTCCGCATTGCTTACTAATTTGAGGCTGGTAGAACAGAGAAAGCAATCACTCAAGCTGAGTTAAATTCTTGACCATGTAACAGGAGTAGATAGGTAGCAAGTCTCTGAACATGGACTTGACCTGGCACCAGAGTCATCCTGAAGAAATTAGAATCTGTAAGTGGGTGATGGACTTCATGATGCTCTGGAGTCCAGCTGGCTTGAGCTGCGTGTAGCACTGGGGTCCAATAGGATGCTGAGCACAGATGGCACTGCCACCTGTGTATAACTCTCAGATACGTGTGATTTCATTTAAAACTCCTCAACATCAAAAAGCTATTTCAGCAGATGCAATGGCTGCAAACTACTGTGACGGAGGCAAGAATTGAGACTTACAAACAAGGGGCCAGGGAGATAGTTCAGTGGAATAAGTGTTTCCCTGGCAAACAGAAGGTCCTGAGTTCAATCCGTGGTAAGAGAGACTTACAAATAAAACAAGGTGGTATAGTTTATGGCTTCTTACATTCTTGAGTGATATTTATTGATGTTTATATGGTTGTAGGAAATGATTTATGAACTTAGGTGGTAGTTTCATAACTACATAAATATACTGAGTTTAGCAAACAGGTTTGACCTAATACAAGAGATCTGACTTAATTCAGATACAATATTATTATTTGCTACAATCATACATCTTTGTAAAGATTTTCTGTCTGAATAGCAGTGTCAGATAAGATTAGAAATTGCTAAGCTATCAGATTTCAAATTTCTGATATTTGTTGGCAAGTTGATGAATACATAGCTTCAATTTTTCCATCTAGCTCTCTGATTTTTTGCTTTTCTTTAAGTCTGCTGATCAATAGCAACAATGCATAGTATCCACATCTGATTCTTCTTGGATGCTTGGTTCATGGCTGTGGACAATTCCTTTGAAGAACAGGAGACACACATTTGTGCTAAAATTAAAATACTACAGCCTTAGAATCTATCCCTTATTTATGTTTTTACTATTGGGAAATACATTAGGAAGTAAATCACACAATGATCATTTAGCTTTTCATTGTCATGATACAATACCTGAGATAAACAACTTAAAGGACAAAATATATTTGGCCCCTGGTTTCAGAGGTTTCAGTCCTCTATTGCTTGGCTCTGTAGCTTTATGCCCAAAGTAACACAGTATGTCATAGTAGAAACACATGGCAGAGGAAACCTCTTTACTTCATAGCTGATAGGAAACAAAAAGAGAAGAGGTGCTGGGGCCTCCATGTCCCTTCAAGGACACAACCCAATGACCTGACTTCTTCTCACTAGGTCTCACCTACTAAAGAATCTACCCCTTCCCACAAGTGCCTCCAGTTGGGGACCAAGCCTTTAGCACATAGCCTTTGGGGGACATTTAAGATCCAAGATATAATAGTGGTCAAGGGCTGACAAAGGGAATTTAATAAAATATCAGTGAATATAGAAAACTAGCTATGAAGAAATTCATTATATTGAAAAGGTGGAGAGAAGACTGAAGCCACAAAAGAAGGGCAGCTTAGTCAGTGGGTAGGATCATCATTCTAAAATCCTAGTACAAAGGTTTGCTGTTGTGTAAGAAATGTCTTGATCAAAGTCATATTATGGTCATTATTAGGTAATAACAAATAAATCACTAGAATGGCAGTGACACACAAACTTTTTGTCTCCTGGATGTTTCTGTAGATGAAGGTATCACATTAACATCTAACAGATGATAATAGGAATTTTCAGTGATTCTATTTTACCTCAATACAGGAACTCAGAATGAAGTGAATGGTAAAGAAGATAACTTACTGTTTCATGCTTTTGATAATAGGGAAGAGGAAGACAAATGTAAAGTATATCTTTTTAAGTAAAATTCTACACTTCCTAGTTTTATTCTTTGTCAGGAGAAATGAACTTAACAGTCAGTAAAACCTAACCATGGTTATTGTTAAACTTAAATAACATACAACAAATGCAAAATATAATTTTATTTACCTGATTCTTTTTTTTAACATATAAACTTTCAGTACAAAAGACATCCAGGCCTTCACAAACATTTTTCAGTTCTGAAAAACAAATCCAAACTTACTGGTTTTTTAATTTAGAAAAGGAATTTATTCTGTAAGCAAATGGTTCCCAATTCAACCAGTATTCTTGGATCTCTTTTAGCACTTATCTGTATGTTCTATAAAGGGAGAACTTAACAGCAAGAGAGATTCTGCTCTAAAAATTATACTGAAAATATTACCATATAGTTTTTGGCAGTTGGAATGCTCAATTTTCCTTTGTATGATGGGAAATTCTAGGAAAAGTAAACTTCTGAACTTAAAAACTAAAAATGGCAAATGGTAGTTGGCTCACCAGTGTGTCTCGCTGCATGTTAGGTATGGTAACTTTGCATAAAGTTCTGTTTTCAAAGTTGCTACCCCACCAGCTTTCACAGGTAGAACATGGGATGGGCCAACATCTCAGAAATTCTTTGCTATGACAGCTCTGACAAGATGTTAATGGTTTTATTTGCATTAAAAAAACAAAGAAAGAGATGTTAGATTTCTGTTACTATGGTCACACTAGAATAAGATGTCATGAATAGTTTTATTCTATGGACAGTGGAACCAGATGTAGAAGACTATGCATTGTCTACCTGTGGACATTCTTGGGTAGATCTATAGTGTTGACTAGCTGGGAGTCAACTGCATGGCACCCTACCCTATGCAGATTCACACACACATTTCAGGAGTGTAAGAGGAGAGCCTCTTGGTGTAGTTTTCAGCGCAGTTGATAGGTGGTAGAGCTGCCCCTAAAATGTAGGCCCAATACTGGACTCATTCTGCTGTGTCCACTGTGCAGAAGTAACCAGTGACCAAGATTAAGAGCGTTGCAGATGCCATCTTCCAAGAGCTGTACCTGTTACAGGCAGTCCTTTGAAGGCCAAGTGATCGAAAAACCATTACTAGGGCATTGGTTTCATTATACTGTCCCCAAGTGTTATTTTGTTCAAAACTCCAAGTTTAAGTGAAGAGGAGTCATCTGTTAATACAATGGATGTAGACAAACTTCTTTTTTTAATTTTAAAAATTGATTTCCTCCGATGTTTGTGTAGGAGCTGTTTCAACTTGTCCTTAAAAAAGCTGGTGGTGAGAGTGTAGAGGATTGGGTTCAAGGCACTGTTTACCGGAAGGAAAAAAATCACTATCCAGGAAGTGATTGTGCCTGCAGAAGGAGGAAACAAAAGTGTGAAAAAGAGCAGAAGGTGGTAAGGATTTTTTTTTTTTCAGTGCTAGGAATTGAACTCGGTGTTGCTCTACCACTGAGCTACCTCCTCAGATTGCAGGTGAAGATGTAAGTAAACATAAAATACAAATAACACTTCACAGCCAGTGCTATTTTTGAGGATGTTACTTCATACGTTTAAGATTCCTTTCACTTTATTTCCTTTCACAAATCTCTTTGTTGGAATAACACAGGAGCTAAGGACTCAAAGGCTTACTTTTCTGAGTTTCAGTAAATTGCAGATTGTTGTTAAAATAAGACAAGAAGAAATAGTGTGAAAACACTTTGAGAACCAGAGATTGTTATATGATGCATTTTTCTTGTTCTTATTGTCTTCATTTGTATAAAAATAAAAGAAAATAGTTTTTAAACTATAGAACAAGACCAGGAAACTTCTGGTTCAAAAGACTCATTACCCTTGTATTCCCGTGGTGATCCTATTATCCTGTTATTGTCCTCTGAACATTTGAAGAGAGAAATGAGTTCTTCCAGCCTGATGAATTCTTTTTTGTGTACAGCTGTAGAGATGCTAATAGAGTGTTTAGGCAAAGAGACCACAAAAGGGTCTTGGTGAGGAGAAATTTGGAATTATAGTGTCTTTCCTGACTGTATCATTTGTTGGGTTAGAATGAAATATATTTTGTCCCTTCAAGGGCAGCCTGCTCCTTGGATGAGACATTTCTTTTATGTGACCCTGGACAAATTCCTTGCTCTAAATTTCTCCTTTCTTCTCTAAAAGGTAGCTAGAGTTTGTTTGGCTGAGTCCAGTGGACTCAGTGAGTCATTTCTGTGGACAGTGTTTTCTAACACCAGTCCCTGAGACTCTCAAGCACAGCCAAAGAAACTACCATTTTGTATATTCCCACAGATTCAAAGAAGCTGGGTAGGCTGGCATGTATCTGTAATCTCAGTTTCTTGGGAGTATAAGGCAGAAGAATAACAAGTTCAAGCCCAGCCTAGGCAATGTAGGGAGTCTCTTCAGGGGCCTTAGGCTTAATCCTCAGTGCTGCAGAGGGATAGAGAGAGTAAGGGAAGGAGAGAGAGAGAGGAAGGAGAGGGAGATTATTTTCAAATCACTCCTAGGTGGATGAAAAGCTGGAAAGCAAGGCCAATGACACTTTTTCTCATCATTGTTCATCTTCTTTCCTTTTACCTCTAATTCCATGATTTTGCTCTCCTTTAGCTCCTATAGTTTCATTTTTCTCTTGATGTTACTTTTGTTCCCTATAACTTTTTATCCTTCTCTCTTTTATGGCAGCCTATCTGACCTCGCTACTGGTCTCCTTCCTTTCTCTTTAATCTCTTCTTTTTTTTCTTTATTTGTCTTCCTATTTTTCCACCCCATCTTCTCTTCCTTGTCTCATTTTTTTAAAACTGGAAAGAAAATGGAAAGAATAGATGTATATCCTATCTTTGATTTATTTTTAATTTTTTATATTTTTGTCCTTATTTAAAAAAGATAATTTGAACAGTTAACAATTAAAGGAAAAGTAGTTTGGTTCCTAGTTTGGTTCCTGTTTATTGTGCTCCCAAAAGACATACTAACCAGTAATCTTAATCCAATCTGACTAAAAAAAAAAAAAAAGTCCCCATAGCATCTGTTTTCAATTAGGCAGAGACAAATAGGCCACTAAAGGTTCCACGAGCATTTTTCACTCTGAGTGAGGCTTCCTGCTCAGCCTCAGGGAGACATCCTAATTTAAATTCAGCAGCTGTGTATGAGGTTGCAGTGTTAAAGCTGGCTCATCTTTTGGGTTAATGTAGGTATTATGAGCAACATGTCCTGAGCAACAAATCCTAGGGATCTTAAAGTTAGGGGCAGGGTAGATCTAGGTCAGTGGCTGCAGCATTTCCTATAGCACCATGGCAAATTAGACAAGCAGGAAGGCCACTGTCCAGTGTCATACAGTCTTCTCTCCTGGGCCTACTATCATGTTCCAGGCAAATCTTAGAATAATGAACATAAATGTAGAGAAGAACTGGTAAAGAATATAGTCATTTTTTTTTCTTTTTTTCAGTTCCAGGAACCAAACTTGTGACCTTGTGCTTGTCAGGCAGGCACTGTGCCACTGAACTATACCCCTGGCCCAGAATTTTGGCTTTGTACAGCTAAGTCTTTTTTAGGGTGGAACCAGGGATCGAACTCAGGCCCTTGCACTTTCCAGGGAAGTGCTTATTCCACTGAGCCTTCTCCCTGGCTGAGTTTTGGCTTTACAAGACCATTTTTCCTATCCTAGTGACTTTTTTGGAGCCATAATTAAGACTATCATGATCTAAAGTATCTTAGGGATTCTGAGGTTGTAAATTAATCCTGTGTCAGAGGTCCTTCACCACCAGACATCTCCTGATCAGAGTCTCATTTGTTTCCTTCTCTATTCATGTGATCAAAGTCCCGGTACCTCTAAATGTGACTCTAAATTTATTTAGAGTCAGAACTTTTAAAGAATTGAATAAATTAAAATGAAGTTACTGGGGTGGGTCCTATTCTGACTGTTGTCACTTTTCAGTGAGGACATAGTAAAAAGATTACTATCTGTAAGACAAGAAGAGAGGCTTCAGGTAAAACTAACTTTGCCCACACTTAGATCTTGGACTTCTGGAAAATACATTTCCAGAAATGTATTTCCAGAAAACACGTTTCTAGGATATCTTGTTTGGATAGCCTTTGCAAGCTAATGGAGAGGAAAAGGCTCAAAGAACTAACAGACTCAGAATACAAGAAGGGGAAGAAATTTGGGAGGCCATTGTGATAGTTACGTTCTTGGGCCAACTTGAGTTATAAATGTCCAACTAATTGGATCAGCGTAGTTCTGGGAGTGACTGAATGGATTTGTGGAAGACAGAAGAAGCACTCTGTGTATGAATGGCACCAACCAATAGGCTTGTAGTCTGAATGAAGAAAGAATGCCAATGCAGAAGAAAGTCTCGCTGTGTTTCTTTGGAGGAGCTCCGGCCTTCACCTTCACCTTGGATGTCATCCCTTGGCTTCCAGCGCAGACTCTTCAGCCTCCTATGGAAGACCTTGCAGTCCCCTGATATGCACTCACACAGGACAGGACAGTGTGCTCCAGGACTTTGTCTTTTGACTGGATCCTTTGGATCTTCAGGATGCAGATAACCCTTTTGCACTCTTCAACACCTGACTCTGCCGGTGGTCATTGTAAGCCTACTTTGTAAATCCTTATACATTTATATACTATATATTAAATCTGCTTCTCTAGTGAGAACTTACTGATACAGTTACTGTAGAAAAAGTGTCAGTGAGATGAGGTGATCACTTTTAAATTCCTTTAGCAGGTTAGTAGTGACTAGATCAGGACGGGAACCCAGAACTCTGCCGGCTCCATGCAGGGTCCTTTGTCCACCAGCCTACAGCATGGGACAAGTGAGTGCCTGGAGTGGAAAAGTACATGCACAGGTAAGCAGACAAGAGTGGGGAGGTTGATGAGGTGGATCCACCCATTCTACCATCACTGGATGAGCTCAGCTTCTCTAACGGACTGAAGAAGGCCTGCTTTGGAGCTCATGTGCCTGCTGACAACATCCTGGGTTCCTGCCTCTCTCCATGGAAGCTCACAGCATGAGAGCTGCTTTTTTTATTCTTTGAATAAGATTATGTGAAATGTATGATGGAAAAATGTGCTATGGACAGCTCAGCAACTGGATGGGAAGCAGGTGAGGAGAGCTCTAGACTGCTACCACAGAGGCAGAAGCACTCAGGCTCAGTCTTGCAAAATAAGAAGGCTTAGCAGGCTGGAATATTATTCAATGTAAACGTAATCAAGAAGAAGGAAGCATTTCAGCAAAAGCTGATATAACAGAAAAGTGCACAGGAAAAAGCGCACATATTCTAGTGAGACTGCATCACAGAATATGAGAGGGTGAGGTGAAGAGAAAGAAACATTGTAATGCTAATCCCAATATTTGGACTTCATTCCCTGAGCAGTGGGCACCAATGGATACATACATCCTGCTGTGTCTGAAACAGTAGGATAGGAAAATTGAGGTAGTCCAGGTAATAGTCATGGGTTGGAGACTATTCAAGAGAACACCTGGGATCATTCATGTTTAATGAACTCTACTATTCAGGTCCTGGCTGGCTCGTCTCTAACGATCCACATAAATTCTTAGGGTTTCTCCTCTTTCCATCAAGATGAATAAAGGCCCCCAAGTGTTCGCCTCTCTCTTGATTTTCACTTCCCCATTTTACATGCTTGAAAGACGTCTGTGCTCACTCATGAAGATAAAGCTGCTGAGGCTGCCACATGCCACTTTGTGGGGAGGCAACTGAGAAGACCACACTAACTGTGCAGGAGCCAAATGAAAGCTCATTAGAGCTGCTTGTCACTTGTGCTTTTGTCCCTCTTTCATCAGGGCTTACAGTGAGGCAGGCAACCTGATTGACAGCAGGGTTACAAGACGAATGAGGCACAATTCCTATCTGGGATTTATTCCTCAAAAAAAAACCTGCTATTGACTGAAATAATGCATGGAGGATAATCCTTAAGTCAGTGTCACAGAGTGAGCCTAACTCTGTAAAGCCCCCAAATTATTTTGATCTCTAGATCTTAGAAAACACGTGTAGGAAAATCTTTACTAATGTGAAAGGTGACTCTCTCTGGCTTAAGTTGGGTTGTATGCTGGGAACCTGGCCTTTTGTTGGGCCTCTTCCATGAAGTATACAAAATTTCACAGAACTCAATATGACATTTCATAGCTAGGATCATGCAGTAGACCAGTGGTTCCTTACAGGTGTGTGTGAGATCATGATCTCTCAGAATCAGAAGGGATCTTGTGTGAAACATCCATGTGTTAGGCCCTGGAGATAAAATCCAGAGGTCTGGGTAGATACTGGGCACATACATTTTGACTTTTAAATATCCCTGCTTAAGAACTGCTGTCTCTCAGATAGAAGCAAAGTGGATCAGATTCACTTTTTCTCTCTCTCTTTTTCTTTGTTTCTTTTCTCTTTCTTTCTTTCTTTCTTTCTTTCTTTCTTTCTTTCTTTCTTTCTTTCTTTCTTTCTTTCTTTCTTTCTTT